CAAAAAGATCGGATTTTTTCAAAAAATCGGAACTGAGCATTAAGACCTGCAGTGTGAACGTAGCCAAAGACGCCGACGTCTCCTCTGATGATGAGCGCTAGTGTCGTGGTAGCAACATGCTATGTGTTTACATCCATCGCCGCCATGTTTGTAATGACTTATCATGAGAACAAACGTATTCACGTGACTTTAATAACATTTCTTACTTAATGGAAACACTGCAGTTGCGAAACTGTGTTTTTGACATTAACAGAATATCAACAAAGTTTTGCTCACATTTGCAATGGAAACACAACTATTGAAGCAACTGCTGCACATCAGGAAAGGTCAAAGGTCGTTTAGAGTCCGTCATTCTACTGACAGAAGGAAAACAAACAAACTGTGTTTCTATCAATGTTTTTTAATGTGCATTTTGAAGTATTGCATTAGAAAAGTGAATGAAACGGCACGATTTGAAAAAATTCCTCTAATTTGCAAAAAAAGTTTCTACGCTCACTTGAGGTGGTTTTTGAGTTTTTTGTAAAAGAGTTAAAGGAGAGATGGAAACACGTTTACCTCACACAGATGATCAGCTGTACCTGCTGGCTGTTCGGTACCGGTGTTGTACGATTTTCAGTTCCCCTGTGAAAATCTGTTCCCCCTGTGTTGGAAGCGCCTCCGAAGCGCCTCCCTCTGGTCTGACGTTATGCCTGGACCGGTGACTCTCTAAGGTTAATCTCTAGGGGGAACAGATTTTCACAGGGTAACTAAAATTCGCACAACACCGGTACCAGCTTAGGCTTGGCTGCACTCACGACTGCAGCTGAAGAGAATTACATTTCTTTTTCTACGTCTGCAGACAGCAGTAACATCACCAAAAATAGTTCATATGACAGAATAATTACAACTTTCTGATAACTTCTCTCTATTGTCCTGGGATCCCTGTGGGTTTTTAACTTCTACTTCCTGTTTCCTGCAGCCATGCGTCTGATGTAATGACACTCTGCGTGGCCTGGTTGATTCACTTCAAGCCAGCTGATGGAAACATGTCTGATTCACATTTCTTCTCTTTTTCCTTTTTGCAAACTTTTAAAAATTTTCTCAAAATTCAAAATAAATTTGGATGGATGGAAACACGGTTATTGTCTTCTCAAGAGTGGACGTCCCAGCAAGTTCACCCCAAAGGTCAGACTGTGCAGTGATCAGAGTTGGGTCTCTGCAGGCCTCAGTTAGCAGGTTAGAGGTTAAAGGTCAAGGCTTGTTTGTTGGGAGGTCTGCAGGAGAACACGTGCACACAGCAGATCCTCTCTCCTTACATCACTCTGTGTACAGTCTGTGTTTTGGCCTCAAACACTCGTTCTGTTTCACCGAGCCAAGCCGACAGCCTGTGGGCCCTCAGAACCAGTTACATGTTCTGTGCCGGAGCAGAGAATCCCCCCGGTGACCCTGAGCCTGTTGGCTCTGCTTCCTCTGTGCAGGTGGGCTCGTTCGGCCCCGGCTGTCTGAAGAGGTGCGACTGCCTTCACGCCAGCGGCTGCCGGCCCGCCGCCGGGGAGTGCCTCTGTCTGCCAGGCTGGACGGGTGAGTGACGTCCCCCCGCCGTCTCTGCCAGCTTGGCCCCGTGTCCTCAGAGACGGTCCAACAGGACGGAGGAGCCACGGGTTTTCAAACCACCTCTCGGTTATTTTCACATCTCTGCTGTTTGAATTTAAAAAACAGTAATTTTTAATTAATTGAAGCATCGCTGCCCTGAGAACATCTTTATTTTTTAACCCTTTAAGAAATACTCAGAAAATTCACATTTTTTAGAACTGACATGTTTATTGGGCCTTTAAACAAAATCTATTTTTTTTTGCCACATCACTTTGTTTATGATATATTTTTTGTATCAAATCTGATACACTGGGCTGTTTTGGTAACATTTTGCTCACAACAAAGTTATATTAAGAAACAAAAGACAGTTTTGCCCATAACTTTTAACAAGTTTAGGACAGTCTAGGACATTTACTTCTTTGTTTGTTTTTTTTTACAATGAAGTTTTTACAGCCCTTTATTTCACTTCATAAACAGTTTCTGTCCTTGTTCAGGCACAGATGTACCTTACACTTTATAAAAAAATGCCATCTATTATCACATTGATGATATTTTCTTATTTTCCCTTTTCTTCCTCAATTTTCTTTGACATCTAACACGTAAATATTTAGTCAGTACAGCGTAGAGATTATAATTTCAAAGGAAACCAAAATGTGTTTTCAAATGGCATTTCAGTAATTAATCAATCATCCAAAACAGTGTGTGGTTGTATTGTGGCAAGAATACTGTTGATTAAATTACTAAAATTACTAAAATGTCACATGACAATTCAGGACTGGAGCACCTGCAGTATCAAGTTCGATACACAAATTTTTAACACGGTTTAATTGTACTATTAAAAATATATATATTTTAAGTAATTATGCATTGTTTCAACGTAGAAAGTATTTATTTAAAAAATACAAACAATATTGATATTATTCTTACCATAACTTCTCCAAAACTAGCAAAAGTTTTCCTGAAAAAAAATGTGTGTATGACCTCATGTCAGCAGGCTATGGAAGCCCATTTCCGCCACCCTGATAAAAAATAAATAAAACTTGTATCTCATAATTATGACTTAGCTATCTCATAATTATGAGATACTATCTCATAATAATGAGATAGCTAAGTCATAATTATGAGATAGTATCTCATAATAATGAGATAGCATCTCATAATAATGAGATAGCTAAGTCATAATTATGAGATACATGTTTTATTTTTTTATCAGGGTGGCGGAAATGGGCTTCCATAGAAGACATTTTGAAAAGGCAAAAAAAAAAGTTCCACTTCCTGCAGTACATTGATAATCCTCCAGAGGGCAGAACACAGATCTCACATGATATATAACAGGTTTTTGAGGAAAATATTGACCACATTGATAAAATATAGGTCACAGAATCCTGCGTAGCAAATGTGATACAAATGGCGATGCAGGGTACTGTCACCAGAATGAAACCTTGACACATTTTATACAGAATATAAGTAATTAAACTCATTAAAGTGCCTGTGATGTCAAATTTTTATAATACAAATGAATGCATTTTAGAAAGATAACATTGATAAAATATTGCAAAAGAGATTTCATGTAGCTGAGATGAACAGTTGTTGAGATATTTGTCTGTAAAATAACAGGAAGTGATGTCAGAGGGGAATGTCCACATGTGAACAGAGCGTTGTTACAACAGCTAATAACACAGAGTGTAGAGAACAATCTGATGTTTATTAACATTATTTTGAGTCACTATCAGGGAGAGTTAAAGTTTAAATAATATTGTTTCAATAAACAAAAATGAGAGATTTCTTTGTTAATGAGTTCCCCTCTGATGTCACTTCCTGTTTCATCTTAGCTGAGTCAAGTTCAAAAGAAAATACAACAGTTATGGGATAAAATGGGTTAAAGTGTGTGTATTATTCCAACTTTCTTAAATATAAAGATGTTTTCTTTGACTTTTTGTGTTTAAAGAATATGCATGTCCCAGGCACTTTAAAAACACTAAACAACATGAAAACCGTAAGAAAAGACAGAAAAATATATAATTAAGCAATCATAAAGCAAAAAATAAGTTAAATTGGACAGAATGTTGTCCAAATACTGAAGGAGCAAATTTGTGTTTACATTTATTTAAAATTTGAACCTTTCTGTTATTTCTGAGGTACGTTTCAAAATAAAAATCAGACATAACTTTTATTGTGAAACTGTTTTTGGAGGTTTATTTTTGAATATTTTCCTCAGCTCTTTGGGCTGCAGATTTTATTTATTTATTTATTGTTTAAAATGTGATTAATGAAATTTTCTTTCAGGCCGCCGCTGCAGTGAGCCCTGTCCTGAGGGTCTTTGGGGGTCCCACTGTAACCAGACCTGCTCTGAGCGCTGCCCCAACAGCGACACGTGTTTAAAGAAAACCGGGGAGTGCGTGTGTCGCCCCGGCTACTGGGGGGCCACCTGCCAGAACAGTAAGAGCTGGAGCAGAAAGCTCATTTAAAATCTGTTTTTATTTCAAATCTTCACTTTCAGAGCCAAATAAAGAGTTTAAAGTTCCTTTAAGGGAGTTTTTCTTCCACCAGACTCCTCGGAGCAGGTGGGCAGCGTCATGGTTCCCCTGCCCCCAGGTGAGAAGGAGTCCTGGGGAGCCATCGGTGGCATCGTGGTGCTGGTCCTCCTGGTGGTCCTGCTGCTGGCCCTGCTGCTGCTCTACAGGAGGAGGCAGAAGGAGAAGCAGAACAACACGCCCACCGTCTCCTTCTCCACCAGCCGCGGCGTCAACTCTGAGTACGCCGTTCCAGGTGAGTCCCGTCAGCTCCAGGTGAGCCACGCCCCGTAAGCTCATCTGATTTAATAAGATTAAATGTCTTCCTGCTGACGTCTTCTCTTCAGTGGTGGGCACCAGTCTGCTAAAGCACAAATCCACTAATTGTGGACCTAAAAATTTCATTTGCATTTTAGCGGTCTTACTAATTTTTATAATTCATAAGCAGATTTGCACTTTCTAAAATTAAAATGCAGTACCGCTAATAATTAATTATCTACCAGTCATCATTAACTTGAACAGCAGAAGGTATGACTGTCAATGAATCACAACATGTGATCTATCCAACAGCACCTCTCCCAGATAAACACACTTATTGTGAAGATATACATCCTGCTGACTGTTGCTTTGGGTCACGGTTCTCATTTCCCACAATGCTTTGTGTCTGCTTACGTAGCAGGAAGGCAACCTTTAGAACTCCCTGTCCCAGTAAAACAGTTAACGTTTGTAATCCATACTAAAATTTTGTATATATTGATTTATTTTACTTTGCAATCGGAGATCCTTTTAAAAAAATAAAGTTTAAATGCTGGAGCTCAATACTTGATGTAATTGGTCGAAGCAACAGGGTTAGAGACGCAGAAATGATTTAAAGATGTTATGCTGYTGAAGACTGACATCTAGTGGTCAACTGGAGCAACTACACGGAAAACTTTAAAATCCAAGCTCTTACTTTGAAGTTTGCAGATAGTTTCCTGTGTTTCGTTTCCCGTCACAAATCAAATCCGTCATGTACCCAGAATGCATCGCCTCAGTTTTCCAATAAACAATTTTAAAATTACTTTATTGATGCTTCTTTAATGAAAAATCTACAACAAACAAAAGAAAAAGACAAAGAAGCAGCCGAACTAGCAATCCTCAACAACTTTTTAATTTTTACACCAGGAGCTAAAGGTCTGTTTCAGGAAATCACATCCCCAGCAATGAAGGGTTGTAGGATTAAGCTGTAAAAGAGTTCATACACCACTAGTTGGCAGTGTTGTACATATATTCTACATGATTGTTGCCAGCTAGTAAGTGTCAAATTGAATTTGTGCTTTAAAATTAGCTTCCACTAGTTTTTCTATGGCCTAAGTCAGGGGTGTCAAACTCCAGTCCTCGAGGGCCGCTATCCTGCATGTTTTAGAGGTTTTCTTGCTCCAACACACCTGATTTTGATCGCTGGGTGATTAACAGGCTTCTGCCCAATTTGAAGAGTTAATTCAATCACTGAATCAGGTGTGTTGGAGCTGGAAAACCTCTAAAACATGCAGGATAGCGGCCCTCGAGGACTGGAGTTTGACACCCCTGCTCTAAAACATGCAGGATAGCGGCCCTCGAGGACTGGAGTTTGACACCCCTGGCCTAAGTGCTTTAGAAGTTACGCCACTAATTTTTGGGTTAGCGCTGCCCACCGCTGCTTGTCTTCATGCTGTTTCTGTCGGAGCTGAAGGAACCTTTTCACCTGTTCGACTGTAATTCTTGTGTTTCTGCTCCTGCAGACGTTCCTCACAGCTACCATCATTACTACTCCAACCCCAGTTACCACACCCTGAACCAGAGCCAGCCTCCGCTGCCACACCTGCCCAACAACCACGAGCGCATCATCAAGGTGGAGCTCGTCTCTTTGGTTCTGGTGAGTTTAAAGTCCGGCCCGTTGGACTGACCCTGTCTGTGTCCCTCAGAACAACAACCAGCTGTTCTGCAGCGTGAAGAACGCAGCGAGGGAGCGGCGCGCCTTGTTCGGAGTGGAGAGCAACGCCACGCTGCCCGCAGACTGGAAACACCACGAGGCCCGCAAAGACTCAGGTTTGTTAGCAAAATATCACCTTCCTTATTTATCAAACGTCCTGGAATTACTCTTAAGCAGAGGTTTATACTAACTAAGTACATTTACTTCCTTACAGTACTTAAGTAGTAATTTTTTGAGGATTTGTAATTTTTTAAACAGCTACGTTTACTTTTATTTCATTAAATTTAAAGCTAAAAATGATACTTTTACTTCTTTACTTTAAAATGTAACATCTAGTTATTCGTTACAAAGTTAAATATGTTCCAACTCATCATGAAAGATGTTTCTGCTTTAAAAAATGAAGTGTTGAATTTACTCAACAAAGTCATGTCAGCTGGCTCCACTAAGTCTAGTCGAGTAAACTGATAAAATAATACACATATTGCCCAGTTTATTCAACCTGACTTAGTGGAACCAGTTTGGTTCAGTAAATTCAACAGTTTATTTCTTAGAGAGTGTGTAAAAGTACTTCTACTTTCCCAATTTTTGTGAACAGTTTTATGATTTTACTTGAGTAGTTTTCACATCAGTGAAATTTATTTTTACCAAAGTCATTTTCTGTTCATGTAATTTTACTTTTACTTATTTTTTTCAAGTACTTTATAGAACTCTACTCTTAAGAATGCTGCTAAGAGTGGACTTAAGTGTAAAAAAATTCTTAGTTAAAAGCTGAGAGTAAAAGTCAGTTATCAAGCGTCTCAGTCTTACTTTAAGTGAAGTGTAGGAGTAAATCTTAAGTGTCAATTTTACTTTAAGTGAAGGGTAGAAGTAAATCTTAAGTGTCAGTCTTAATTTAAGTGAAGTGTGTGAGTAAATCTTAAGTGTCAGTCTTACTTTAAGTGAAGTGTAGGAGAACATCTTAAGAGTCAGTCTTACTTTAAGTGAAGTGTAGGAATACATCTTAAGTGTCAGTCTTAATTTAAGTGAAGTGTAGGAGTAAATCTTAAGTGTCAGTCTTACTTTAAGTGAAGTGTAGGAGTAAATCCTAGTGTCAGTCTTACTTTAAGTGAAATGTAGGAGTAATTCTTAAGTGTCAGCCTTATTTTAAGTGAAGTGTAGGAGTAAATCTTAAGTGTCAGTCTTACTTTAAGTGAAGTGTAGGAGTAATTCTTAAGTGTCAGTCTTAAATGAAGTGTAGGAGTAATTCTTAAATGTCAATCTTACTTTAAGTGAAGTGTAGGAGTAATTCTTAAGTGTCAGTCTTACTTTAGGTGAAGTGTGGGAGTGATTCTTAAGTGTCTTACTTTAAGTGAAGTGTAGGAGTAATTCTTAAGTGTCAGTCTTACTTTAAGTGAAGTGTAGGAGTAATTCTTAAGTGTCAGTCTTTAAGTGAAGTGTAGGAGTAAATCTTAAGTGTCAGTCTTTAAGTGAAGTGTAGGAGTAAATCTTAAGTGTCAGTCTTAGAGCTGATGTGTGACACCTGGCTGTGCCACAAACTGATCCTGGATGACGTCATTAGGTAAAACACTGGCATGGACCAATCACTGCCTCGGATTTCATGTTCAAGAATATTGTTGGAGAAATGTCAAGATAATGATGCGTTCCGTTTATATCGTATTCTGGGAACTGAACTGGTAAATGATAGTGACGTCTAAAAATCCACTGTAAGAAGTTTGATAAATACGAGCCCTGATGAACAGCCGAACATCAATAAGATGACATATTGGTGAATTTAACAGCTAAAGTTTGGTTTAATGAAGCTCTTTGTGCAGATTACTACTTATTCTGTTCTTTTTGCAGTTTTGACCCAAACATCGTGAACAGTGGAGGGTGATCTACATTTCATCCTGACTCACATTAATTCATGCAGCTGCAGAGTGGACATACATTTATTGAGCTAATAAAAGTGGCTCAGTGGTTTCCTGACCTCCTGACTCGTTCAATCAGCAAAAAGCTGAGAGAATTAACTCTGATAAAAGCTTTAATAAGCTCACTTTTTATCCAAAAGAGCTTCAGATTGTCTGAAACTGCTTGGATTGAAGACATTAGTGACTTTTTTCTGTGTAAAATCACAGGAGATGTTGAGGGGAAAGTTCTTTGGGCCTGCAGGTACGGAGCCATAAACGCTTCGAACTCCATAAAAAGCTGATGTTTTGGCAGCAGTGATGTTCTCACACCTGCTGCTGATTTTCCACGTGTCCACAGCAGCTGATCTGCTTCTGATTAGTTTGACATAAATGAAAAGTACAGACAGAAAATGTGTCTTTTATTGTTTACAGGAGCTTTTGGCATCGACAGGAGCTACAGCTACAGCGCCAGCCTCGGAAAATATTACAACAAAGGTAGTTAATCACCTCCTCCTCCTCCCTGTTCTTCCTCTCCTCCTGCAGCTGCTGAAGAGCAGGAAATACAAGCTGGAGATAAAAACAAGCTGTAAATATCTGAAGATTTTTCCTTTAATTCTCATGTCTTATTTGAATATTCAGATCAAAGGAAGGTTTTTATGAATCACAGAAGTCAAACTTTTCTTTGTGATGATTTTATTTGAAATATTTCAGTTCAGCAGAGTCAAACTAACCTAAAATCCTGAGTCTAGAAATGAAAACTTCTGCCTAAAAGGACCAAAGTAAGTTTCTGGAGTTGACCTTTGACCTTTCGGCTGCTGACTCGTGTATTTTCCGAGCAGAGCTGAAGGACCTGGCGGCTGTGAGCAGCAGCTCTCTGAACAGCGAGAACCCTTACGCCACCATCAAGGACCTGCCGGGACCCCCGTTCTGCCCCCCGGAGAGCAGCTACATGGAGATGAAGGCGGCCGTCCCCAGAGAGCGGGCGTACACCGAGATCAGCCCACCGCCCTTCCACGTGGCCACGCTGCGCCGAGGTGAGGGGGCGGGGCATCGGGAAACCAGTTTTTACTTGTCTGTCCGTTGAGTCGGGAGATATTTTGCTAACAGACACAGGTTCATGTCTTTAGCAGCAGAGGAAATATGTTTTGGTTCATGATCACTCATTAAATAATGAACATTTGGCTAAAACATAAGTTTTTGCTCCAGATCTTTCAGCTCAAACCTGCTGCTTTAAATTAGTTTTATTGTATTTTTTGACTCTAAGAACTCAGAAACGTCATGTTTGATTCAAAATATTGATATTTTCTGTAACTTGTTCAGATTAAAGGTCGTTCAGCTCAAACTGCAGGTTTTTTCTCCTCAGAGCGTCAGAGCTCCCTTGGCCACGCCCCCCTCGATGACCCCCAGAGCCACTACGACCTCCCTGTGAACAGCCACATCCCGGGACACTACGACCTGCCCCCGGTCCGCCGGCCCCCCTCCCCCCGGCCCTCCCCCAGGAGAACTCTGCAGTGATGAAGAGGAGTAAAGACCTTCAGCTCAGTGATGGAGCCACCTGTCGGGGCAGCACCGCCCCCTGTGGGCTCAGGGTGGTACTGCACCCCCTCGGACTCGGGGCTGGTTGAGTGAATCACTTTGTTTGTTCCTGGGAGAAGTTTGTCTGCGATGATTCCTCCGTCTGTTCAAACGAGTTTTATTTCCTGCAGTTTGATGCCGTCGCTCCTGAACGTGGCTTTTTGCTGCTGCTGGAATCCAAACTTTGTAAATATAAAGATGAATATAACGTTAAGCTCACATGAATGTAGAACAAAGCCAGTTTTCAGTGCTTCACAGGATTCAGAACCATGTGTTTTACAGATCAACAGATAGAAAGCACAAACAGGAAGTGATGAATTACAGAAAATCAGATCAGACCATTCAAAACAAGTTTCTTCACTTTCAAGGTACAAAAATCAGCCTGAGGTTTGAGCAGGTGTGTTTTATCATCTGCAGCTGGTCCGTGTGACCAGGTGTTGATCTTCATTTGGCCTTTTATTTAAAAATGTCTTGCCATCATCCCTCTTGGCTTTAAAGGGGACATATCCTGTAAAATCTACCTTTTTTAAATTCATTTTGTTGGACTTGGAGTTTCTAGGAGGCAGAAAAGATGAATTTAGTCTCTCCAGGTGCAAAGATTTCTTTATATGAGTCAGATTTTTCAGCCTGTTCAGTTTTCTCTATTTTCTATGACGTTTTCAGAAATATTATGTTAAATTATAGAATTACCAAATAAGGTCTGGACTTACCAAGTACAACTTTGTTTTAATTATCTGGTTCTGGGTCAGACTCTGGTCCACTGTTGTTGACGTCTTTTAACTAAATTGTAAAGAAAACGTTTCTGCAAGCTAGAAGATGCGCCCCTCCCTCCTCTCAAACCGGAGTGGAACGGTCTGGAAGCAGGAGGGGGTGAGGAGCTTGAAGCATCTTAAAGTGCCTGTGACATGTTCATCCTTTAGATACAAAAAGTCAAAGAAAACTTTGTTTTATTTAAGAAACTTAGCAGAACACATTATTTTACCCATTTGGACGACCTATTTTCTTTTGAACCTGGCTCGGCAAAAAAGAAACAGGAAGTGACATCACAGGGGAACTCCTTTGAGAAAAATAACTCACTGGTCATTGTTTATTGAAACATTTGAACTCTTCTTTTTTGTCAGTCTGACAGCGACTCTGATGTCATTTTTCATGCAGATATTCCCCTTCGACATCACTTCCTGTTACTTCACATGCAAATATCAACTGTTAATCTCAGCAACATGAAAATTATTTTGTAATATGTTCTCATTATCTTTCCAAAAATGCATCGGTATTATTTAAAAAAATGATGTCACAGGCAATTTAAAGGAACAGTAACAAAACGAGCTGCTTTGAGACACAGCAGAAAAGTGGTGAAAGAGGAGCTGGAAAAGTTAGAATACGGAGGAATTCAGACCAAAGCTGTAGTTCCACTTTATAAAGACCCAACTGAATGATTTAAAAACATCGTGTCTACTTTAAAACATTTTTTAATACTAAAGTGAATTTTTGCTCCACTTTTTCCGTCATATTTTGGATTTAAGCACGTGGTTGTGTCCAGTGAAGTTCTTTTATTCTAACAAACCAAACTGAATGTACATTATGTTGTAAATGTTTGATTTTTTTGTACATCAATGTATTTTTGAATGTAACTGTGGGTACATGTGTGTGTATATAATGCATATTAAAAATATCTGCACTTTTCTTTTTGTTTTTGTAACAATATATATAAATAAAAAACAGACTGGAAAACATAGGTTTTATTCAGCATTATTATAGAGTAGGAAAAAATACATCGAACAACGTTTGGCCTCATTTAGCTTTCTGGAAGGAAAATCAAACTTTGGCTTGAACACCTTTGGGTCATATTTCATCTGACAGAAAATAAACTATATCCAGTAATAACGTCTGCAGTTTACATGATAAAGACTGGCTCTTTATTCATTCTACACATCTGTAGGTACAAGAGTTTCGAGGCACTTTAGGAATAAAGACATAAAAATGAGCATAATTGTTGCATCAGACCAAAAAAAAAAAACAAAAACACAGCCATCAAGTATTTTCCATATTGATAAACTTTCCACTGGAGTATAAATGAGTCAAGCTGCCAAACTACAGTACAAATCTACCTGCTGTGAGTAACTGAGGATAAAAGCAAAGCGTACAGAGTATAGCTGAGCAGAAAGCAGGAAAAGCAGCTCGTGACCAGTTTTAACGGCTCACCAGGGGGGCACGAGGGGGCTGACAGTCACAGGACTGCAGCTTGAATCATGTGATCTGAGAAAACCTGGTTTCCTCTGAAGGCACCGTAAGATTAATCTGAGAATAAATCTGACTCAGCTGATGAGATTTCTGGTTAATTCATTTGATTTAAATCACAAAAAAACCCAAATATATCCTGATTATCTGAGCATCCAAAAAAAAAACAAGCTGACAAAACCATCATCAGATGATCTAAATATTTATCTGAGAGGTGAGCTGTGAGGACGATTGCTGAAAATGATTGTTTTTGTGGAAAGAAAATCATCTAAAGCACTTTGTAAATGTTTAAAACCTGAGCTGAGAGTCTTTGGAGGATTCTCCTGCTGCATATAAACCACGCTGGGAGAACCTGATGAGTGATCAGCAGCTGAGCGTGTCCACCGACCACAGCTGAGCTCGTAGCTCAGCAGACATGCAGGAAACACAAATATAACGAAGCACAATCTGAGCCCTTCACCCAAACCTGGAAAACCAATCGAATGCATTAAACCAGGCTACAAAACAACAACGGTTCATATATAAAAATAAAGAGGAACATCCTGGTGGTAGAAAAGCGCTCCTCTGTGGTGCGTTCAGGTGAGGTGATGGTCGCCGTCTTACATGACGGAGCAGTTCTCCGGCTTCACTCGGCCCTGTGCAGGAAGCACATCACACTTTAAACTCACACTCGGGGGGCGGGGTTGTGAGACGTCTCCACGGTACCGTACCTGTCGGGGCTCGTTGGTTCCCAGGAAGTAGGAGTGTCCCACGAGGCCCTCGGGCAGACCGCCGCTGCGGTCCGACGGCTGGCCGCACGAGTCGCAGATGACGGTGCGGCTGCGCAGGTTGTACTCGGTGTGCTCGTCTCCTCCGCTCGTGCTGTGAGCACCCTGCAGGGAAACAGGTTCTGTCAGAGGACCAGAACCAGAACTCCTGATAGAACTGGTCTTACTGTAACGAGCTCTGCAGGCTTCTCACTTTAAAATGATTAAAAGGACTAAATTTAAACTTTTTTATGAAGCAAACTTTGTTTTACCATTTGGTTTTCTTAAAATCTGATTTTTGATTTTTAATTTTTATTCATCTTTTCTGGATGTTTTTAGATATTGATGGAAATTTCTTTGACTTTAGACTGAAAAGAATGTGGATTTGATTTTGGCCTCAGTGCCACCTCTGGTTAAAACTCAGATCATTTTGTTGTAAATTTCTCCATCACAGATCAGCTTCATTTATCTCACTTTATTTAAGTTTCTGTGGAGGACTGAAACTGTCATAATTAGAAATATAAGCAGAAATATAAATAAATACACTTAAAATTAAATCAAAAAAGGAGAACTTTACCTCATGTTTTACACATTTTTCCAGTTTAGTTTCAACAAATTACATATTTTAGCACATACTTTACATTTTACTCTCATAAAAACATATATTTTATTTTTCTTTATATTTGTACATGCATTTGTGTCTCTCAAATGTTATTTATTTTTTTATAATTTTACCCACAAGTCTTTTTGTTTCCATGTGTTGCTTTTACATTTCTGTCTCCTGTTTTTACTTTAAACTTTAACCTAAACTGAGGCAGCAGCAGCTGCTCCTTCCTGTCTGTTGACCAATAAGAGAGGAGCTGAACCAGGAAGCTCCGCCCACCTTATTTGCTTAATTAGACAGAAATGCACAAGTTAAAGTAAACACAAGAGACAGAGAAATGTAAAAGCAACACGGACATAAAACGCTTCTGGGAAAAATTTATTTTAAAAAATGATAAAAACACTAAAGCGTAAATTATGTGATAAAATATACACTTTATTGGAACTAAGCTGGAAAAATAAATATGATGGTCAATTAAATTATAAAACTTGAGGTAAAATTCTTTTTTTGTTTATTT